TGCAAAAGTTAAATAACTGGTATGACCTTTGACTTCATTAGGTGTTTTGGAAACATACAGATTTGGAGGATCTTGTTTTGATTTAGAAACCTGACTATCAGCATTAGCATTATCCTGTTCATCTTGATCTTCCTTACGTTTACGTTTTTTATCTTGTTGTAATTTAATTTTATTTACAGCATCAGTAACCGTATATATAGGTATTGTTTTAATTTCATGTTCACGCATAAGACATTCATACATCTTAATTTCTATTGTAATAATCGAGTTAATATTTAATTTAGTTTTGTCATAAAATTTTTATAAAACTACTTACCAACAAAACCATTTTCATTCAAGGACGCACAAGTCCGTTGCACTTGTTCAATGCATGGACTAAAACAACTTATCTTGCCTATACGTTTTTGCTATGAAAATTATCATGTTTTGTGAATATAAATAATTAACAAATAAATCAAAATATTTATAAAAAAATAACCTTAAATGCTTCTTTAGCCGCTGGAATTGCCTCCCATGGTGCGGGTAGATCCAAAAATACTAATAGATAAATAAATCAACAAAGAAATTAACAAAAGGTAAGGTTAAGGTTAAGTTTTAACGCGTGATTATTTACCAGCATGGACTAAATCGGTAACGCCGAAACCATTCTTGCAAACATCTCTACATTCTATTGTAATAAGATCCGACAAGCCATGCTCTTCAAAGTCCTGCCTAAAATAAAGGAATATTAAAGGCATAATTTATTTTTATTAATGAATTCATTGTTCAAAAAAAAAAGAAAAGAAAATCCTCATACTTCACGGCTTTTGCCCGCTCTTCGTGAAATTCAAATGTATACAAATGACCATTTGGTGCAATTGTTCGTGCCAAAGAATGTGAAAATGATCCACTCCCCGTTCCTAATTATTAAATATATTAATCGAATTAAAATATAAATATATCAAAAATATTATATTAATTACCGGATTCTAGTACTACAGAACCAGGTTTTAAATCGAGATACGTTGTTATATAAGAAATATCAGCGGCATATAAAATTTGTGTCCTATGTGGAACTACATGGGTCCATAATTCTGGTGTTGGGTGAAGTAAATACATAAAACCTCTACCATTATGTGAAGGCATCTATAAAATCATTGATTAATTAGCTTAAAAAACTAGTAAACATAAAATTAAATTAAATTCACGTTGAATTTACTTACTTTTGTACCATATTCTTTACCTATCATGTCTTTATGCTTAAATATTCCAAATTTGTTATTGTATGTTTTCTTGGAATCAACTATAAGTGGTGTCATATTTTCGCGCGACTAATAAAGAGATATGTTAATAATTTAAATTAAGAAAAAGATAAATAGCATTTATGTTAACTTACTAAATAAGCAATAACTAATTCGCCTTCTTCGATGTGAGTTTTATAACGTAAAAAGCTCATGGTAGAAAATTTTTTTTTTGATCAAAAATTTGGATCGACGACAAAATGATAAGATTAATAAAAATATTTACTGGGTAACCTATCATTAGTACATATTTTTAAATTTTTAAATTATAAAATTATATTATATATATTTGAAAGTAATTTATTTACTTTTTAATTTAACACGAATTTTTCGTTTATTAAAAAAAAAAAAAAAATAAGAAAAGCTGTGTTTATGTTTAATATTATATTATATAAATCATTTTGATCAAGAATATATACATTATCGGCGGATAAAAATACAGCTCTATTAAATATTATGTAACATTCACTCCTAAACAAGTAAATACATAAGAACAAGTTGAAGGGTTGCTACAATGAAAAGAAAATGAATTCGTTTTTTTCGTTGTGGACTATTAACGGTATTTGTGGAATCAGGAAAAACGACATATCTAAGTGATCGTAGCTATAAAGAAAATAAAAATAAGAAATATGCTAGCATACAAATCAAACTTTGATTAAAGGAAATAATAAATACCAAGAAAAATCCATTTGCCGCAACGGTATATATGAAAATTACAGACACCAACCAAAAAGGTGCTATTAAACCAACAAGAAGAGTAACGATAACACTGAACATTCAAAGAAATTAAATTTCAATTAGAAAATGTATAGTAAAAACATAAATTATAAACATTGTTTTTTAGCATAGTAAATTTAATATACCCAATAAATTTATATCCCGAATACGCTAATAAATCCAATATCTGAGTTTCAGTTGTGATGTTCAATAGGTAACAACCCATCTTTATAAGAATCAATTCTATCAACATAACGAGAGATGCCGTAGTAGCATTTCCTCCTAGAACTTTCGGATGAAATCTAAAGTGAAAACATTTAATTAAACTTTTTTTAAAAAAAAAGAAAAAGCGAAAAAAATATTAATTAAAATTTACTTGTGTTCAGTTCCAGCAACAAACCCTGTAAGTAGTACATATGTTACCAGTGCCATCGCTGGTATATATAAATCTGGTGAATTTATATCGTCTCTGGGCGGTTTAAATCCTTCCATTTGTCCGTTCTGTTCAGAACGTTTAACGAGCCTTGACCATGGTCGATGTCTCCATGGAAATAACAACAATCTGATTTTGTTTGCTACGTACAAGTTATTTACTTTAAAATAATGTTTTAAAGCAGGAAAATTAACATATCGATTGATCTAAAATATTAAATCGAAAGTTAAACCTCTTAAAAAGCATATCCAGGTTTACAGTGGGTATTAGATTTTAAAGAAATAAATTTACATTTTTTTCGACGTATTCACTTCCTGTCATCATTGCAGTTCTCCCAAATTGCATTCCCATTTGTGTTGTAGCATCATTAAATCTCCACGCGTCGTTGTATTCGTTTGGTCCTTGTTGGTGCGGAGGTGGAGGTGGAATATTCTGGTGTTGGTGTGTGATTCTCTGTTGTGTAGTTGGTGAAGGTGAGGAGACCGGAGGATCGACCATTTGAATTGGTGGGTGAGTGGGAATTGGATGTTGTAATGGAGGTGGAGAAACCGAATGTTGTTGTGGTGGATAATAGCTATAAGAGTTATGTTTGGGTGGGTTGTTTGGGTTGTTTTGATTGTACATTTTTGCAACGCTTGTTATTATCTAGAAATCGAAACCAGTTTTATTTTTTTTTTTTTTTTATAGAAAATCATTAAATTTGGAGGTTGAACTTGGATAATTATGATTGGTCGAATTTTTGAACATTGTTCATCATTCCTTTTTAACTTGTTTTTCGTGTTTCTAATAATTCAAAAAGTTTAATAATGTCAAATACTCCAGCGAGCTTTAGTTATCTCACAACTTATGGTCCTTCAAGAGCTGCCTCTTACTCACCTGTTCCCTCAGAACACAGTAAGTTGCTTTGATGAACGTTAAGCAATATCCTTTCAATTAGTAATTATTAAACAATCCTTCCTTCAATAAAGGTCTCGCGCTTGATGAGGTAAACCAGTTTATCTTTGCATTCAAGTTTCAAAAAATCATGTTTTTATAATTTTTCAACTTTATGTTAGGAGGTCAGATTATATACCAATAATAAAGACAGAGAAAAATACGAGAATTTAGCAGATTTATATGCTATTATTGTAACAATGGAACATTTGGAGAAAGCATATGTTAGAGATTCTGTCACTGCTTCCGAGTAAGATTAACTTATTCTCTCTTCTTTAATTAATTCATTTATCGTGAATCAACTAAATCGAATTATTCTTAGATATACACAAGCTTGTGCGCAATTAATAGCACAGTACCGAACAGCACTTAATTTAGTATGTGATTCCATAACGGATGTGGAAAAGTTTATGGAAAAGTTTATAAAAGAATATAAGGTATGGTTTCTAATTGAGATCCGTTACTTTATTTTATTTATATTTTCTGATGTAAATTTATCCTATCAGTTAGAGTGTCCAGCGGCAGTAAATCGATTCAAAATAGGGGTGCCCGCCACAATCGAACATCCCACCGGTGCTGGACATGATACCAGTAAATTTGCACAATACGTTGCTGAAACGGTTCATGTAAGTTGTGCTTTGCTTTGTTGCCGTACAGAATATCTTTTTTTTTTTTTTTTATTTTTTTAATCATTATTTTTTTTTTTGTTCTTTAGCATTTGATTACTACTATGGATGCACTAAAATTAGGTATGAAGGCTGTGGACTATATACATCCTTTGCTTGGTGACTTAATGCAAAGTTTAAACAAAGTTAGTTCGTTACCTGCTGATTTTGAGGGTAAAGCAAAGATTAGAAATTGGTTAATTATGTTAAATGGAATGAAGGCCAGTGATGAACTTAACGAAGAACAAGTTCGACAATTATCATTTGATCTTGAAAGTGCCAATAACGCGTTTTATCGTTCTCTTTCTGATAAGAATTAATTTAATAAAAAAGGACAATATGCATTTGCATTATTTATTTTCAATCCCTATGATGATTAATTATAATAAAATTATAAAAAGAATAATGATACAAATTATTAAAAATATCTATAAATCCATTAGTCTATGTATACAATGATGTCTATATGTCTATATGTGTAAATATAATACTTGAAATTTGATTTCATTAAGGAGTATATATTCTAATAAGGATCTCTTTCAATCATTTAAGTTTTCCTTCACTACCTCATTTACACTAAGCGACGAAGAATTCAAACTTTGCTCGTCTGATTCTGATGCATCTTCCATAACATCTTCGCTGCTGAACTCTTCTCCTGCTTCTGCTTCAATGTTATAACCTAACAAATGTCCATTAAAAATTTTTTCTTGATTCTGGATTAAATATTTATCCTTAACATTATCGTTATCATTGTCAGTTTCATCATCATTATAATGCCTTCTAAAACTTGTCGTCAATTTGTATTTGTTTGTTTCTTGATTCTTTTCCATGATCACAAATTCACAGGTACATAAATTGTTTAATGATTCGAATTCTTCTACGGACCAATGAAACCAACGCATCACAAATAACCTGAAAATGATTTAAAAAAAAATTTGTATCAATAATAGTGTAGATAAAAATGTTTATAATATTTTAAAGATGATTATTATTACCTTGATAGTAATCCATGAGTGACGATTACCAGAACCGAAGGAAAACTGGGAGAAGCGAAAGCACGGTGCAATCTAAGCTCGAAATTACAATATTTAAACAATGGTCATTTAATTAAGATTTTATTTAAGCGATAAAAAGGTCATTAAAAATAACTTACGTCTCTTGAAAAGTTGATATTCTATCGTATACATCAGCACCACTTTCACCATTCGGTATACGATAGAAACTATAAAAATGAAAGAATTGAGTGGAGTGGATTTCATAAATAAAATTATGATTTAATTAAAGGAAAAACTCACAAGTGACCATAAGATTTCCTTTCCATTTTGATCCTTGCCATTTCTTCAGGTGGTCCTTGAAAGTTTCCCCAATCTATTAAATCATTGTGTGAAAGTTGAATTCAATCATAAAGTTTAAGTGGTACAAATAACAATTTCCTTGTGATGAAATAAATGATTACTTACCTTGTTCTCTCAATCTTGGTTCTTCACAATACTTCCACCTTCTTTTGTCTAATGCTTTAGACATATTTTCAAATGTTTGTCTGGCTCTTAAATAAGGGCTAACATAGAACTGCACAACCTCGTCAGGTTTAAGCAATTTATTAAGACGATGTCCGGCTTCAAGGGCCTGTTCCACACCCACTTTTGTCAATTTGATTTTGTGATCAGGAACCCAACGGTGAATAGAAATATCAACATTGGCTTCCGATTGTCCATGACGAACGAGGATAATTAAACGTGGTCGCATTATTCAGGTTTTTTTTTAATTTTGTTTTTTGTTTTTAAAAAACGGGAGTCAAAAAAACAAAAATTACTTTTAATAAATAGACCATTCAACCACCAATCATAGAGATATAGATAGGGATGTAGCTGAAGGTTGGGATCGAATCAGATTGGACTCGGATCGTCCATCACGTGGTCTCAAAACAAGAAGTAGGCTAGATCCAGAAACAGCAATGATTTACCTAACAAACGGGGGTATCGACTCTTCGATCTGATATGAAATTAACTCATCGTCCATCCGGACTAATTAATAATTAGGTAGAATTATCTTATATTTTATAATAAATAAAAAAAAAGATGACTTAGCAAATAGACAGCATTTTCAACGATTATTGACAAATTATAAATGGAAAACAAATTCAGATATCAATGTGAAGATGATGAATAAAATATAAATCATGCATTTCTTTTACTAAGTATTGCATCCCACCAATAATATCTAATACACGTTCTCTTTAAGGCGACATGATAAAATGGTGCGTTATGCATGTCTCTTTCCCCATTCTATAACATGTTGTAATTCTTCGATGTGCGGAATCGGTAAATATGTTTCCAAAAAAAAATATTTCAAAAAGAAACTATAACGTGTTATTTACTTAACAAGAAGGGCTTCTTCGTCGCATGATTTTTTACAATAACGGAATATACTGGATCAGCGAAAGAATCTCGAAATTTAGCTATTCAAAAATTATGATATGTCAAACATGGCGGAGTATCAAGCTTCCTCCATAACGCTTATTAAAAATTATTAAGATTTTTTTTATCTTCATTTCGTTATTTTTTTTTATAATGCGATCCTAAAATCGGGTCTAAAAATCCAAACGGATCATTAACATAAATAGGAGGGCAAAACAAAGATCATTCCCATTTTTAGTTAAGTATAAATACGAATTTCTCACATGATTTACATAACAAAGTAATTTTCTTGAGCAATTTTACTTTCATAATTAAGCAAGAATTTTACAATGTCTGAAGACAAAATCGAAAAAATCGAAACAATGCTTGAAGAACTTGATGTAGACGTAAGTTCAACTTGTTAATCTATCAGTTATTGTTATGATTTGAAATGGTTTAAGCCTTACGGTATCTTGGATCACGTAGTTCTTTGAATTTATACAACTAAAAAAAAGAATTAAACTTTCTAAAGACATTTTTGATGAGAAGTCTATACCTCCTTATTCCTCATTATTAACGGTTTCTAATTTATATGGTTATTTTGTGGCGGGAACATCCAAAGGTTGAAGAGTTTATATATAAATATGCATAAATGGTGGTTTTCTTACTTCGATTTTCTAATCTAATCAACTTATAAATGTTAATAGGCTTTATTTACGCGCTTACAAAAGATTTACGCAATGCCTTTTATTCTTCTGACGCAGAATCGGATAAGCCATTTGAGCAAGGGATTCACGTTAATATAACTGAAGGACGCGTTCATTTATTAAGGTTAACCTCGGATCAACTCACTTTAATTGTGGGTGTTGAAGGTGGTCAAATATTATATTATGATGTTACCAAATTTTCAACTGAGGTATAATTTATTTGTTATCATAAATAATATTAAGTTTTTGATAATCAACGTTTTCATTAACATGCGATCTGTTCTGATGCTATAAATTAGTCCTCTAAAATTCAACCATATCAAACTATGAAATTTTCGGACAATGTCGTGGATATTCGACCTAATCCTGGAGAAGATAATAAAATTATCGCATTTTTGCTTGTAACTGGTACCGTGCATATCAAAGATCTTATATCTGACGCTGAAATTGGTTCCGTGAAAAATTCTAAACTTGGCGAGCAAGTTACAGCTAGTAAGTGGAAAAAATTACATTCAAACAAGTCGATCATTTAGATTATTAACTATTATCGTAAATCTCTTAAGTATGTTGGTCACCAAAAGGAAAGCAATTGACTTGTGGTAGTCAATCTGGAAGGCTTGTACAATTTACGCCTGATGGAATTGCTAAATCATCTTATCAAGCACCACCAGGAATTCAAGAATCTACTTATTATGGTAAGTTAAATCGGATTACAGATGAATATAGATATAATTTATTTATTTTTTCGCGAATGTTAACATTACATCTATTATAGTCAGAAATGTTCTCTGGCTAGAAAATACCATATTTATAGTAACTTATTTTCCAATCGTTCAGGATGATGACTCTGAACACATAGTTTATTTGATATCAAATGAGAATAAATTAAAGACAGTTTATAATCAGATTCCAAATATTTGTTATCCAAGTCCTCGTAATAAGGGTTCATATATGTTTATGGAATCTATTAAGGATTGGTAAAAGTTTTTTCATTTATCATTTCTAATAATTAATAACATTTCATAATTATAATCTTTTATATTCATTCCTTCTAGGGACTCGGATTTGAAAAGCATGGTCATTTGTGCTAGTACAAATTCTTCTGATACAAATTTAATTGCTCGTAGCGATTCAGACGCATGGTCTAATTGGAATCTTTCAGAAACAGCTCGTGCGATTCTTCCACTTTCATCACTTCATGAAGATGAAACACTACCAATCGGAATGGCGCTTGATCTAACTTCGACAGAATCTTGGGTTATAAAATTAACAGGAGATGAAGATAGTCAAATACCACCAGTCCCTATACTTTTAATCTTTAATGACGAAAGTGAAATACTAGCATTTCGTTGTTTACAAAAAAATGCATATTTAGCTGGAAAAAGTTATCCCGGAATGACAATCCCAATACCCATTCCTTCTATTGGACCTTCAAGTGGAAAAATATTACTTAAACCGAGCCATGAACCCGCTATTTATGAAAGCAAACCTGGTCCGAGCAATAAAATATCTGTCCCTGTTAGTACATCTACTACTGCAAATATATCGAGAGATAAAATTTCGGTCGGTCTTGCTAATAATTTTCAAGCAGCAAGGAATAATGCAACAAATACAATTGTCAAAGCTAATGCTCAAAATGCGACATCGATCAAGCAAACAAGTGCTATTAGACCTGATCTTAATAAAGAAAGATCCCCACATATAATACGACTTGATGCAACAAAGAAAAGTGTACTTGAAGTATGTTTTCATGATTATTCATTAATTTTTTGAATTTGTATCTTTTGCTATAATATATATATATTTTTCTTTCTAGATTCAATATTTAATAAAAGATATTGAGGAAAATTACTTAATTAAATATCAAGAACAGACAAGTGCAGATAGTCTTGAAAATCCTAATGATTGGTCAATTGGAGATTTACCAGTAATTATATCAGAGACGAAACGTTTGGAAGGAGAAACTAAAAATATCATCGATTCTCTTAGTTTTTTGAAACTGGAGACTACCAATTTAAAACTTAATTTTGTAAAAGGTTATTTAATATTTTCTGTAGTTGTTTTCGTACATTTTTTAATTTATAAATTTTTATTAATTTTGTTACTTATGACAGAGGATGCCATGACAAAGCAGGAGATTGGGTTGTTAGTATCGCCGCAAAAAGTTACGCCAACTCATCGTGGAACAATACAGTCAAGAATTACTGAGAAGTACGAAAAAGCTTTTCAGGTAAAATTGATCATTGCTTTTTTGATTTATTGATTAATTTATCAAAATTTAAATAATGTCAATTTTTTAATATCACATTTATTTTACAATTTATAGGACGTTAAAAATAACGCGGATGAATTAGAGAAACAGTTGGACGAGTTACATGAGCAAATTAAAGATCATAAGGCAAATAAATATACAGGGTAAATTATTGTATTATCTAATTATCAAATTTTTTTTAAAGTGAACTATAAATATATTTTCTCATTCTTTTTTCTTGTGAAATCATTATTATAGATCAACTCCTTTGGATTATATAGATCGTTCAGTTCAAAATATTAGCAAAGGATTATATAGTAACGCGTCTCAGATCGAACAATTAAATAATCAATTGAATTTGATTTCCGAACAACTTGCATCTATTAGCTTTAATGAAGATGCTGACATTTTCGTATCTCAGAAAATCGAACATGACACTAGGAAAAACACAATACCTGTAAAATGCTCGGATGAAAATGAAAAAAAAACTACCAAATTAATGAATAAAGAATGGAAATTATCTAGATTTCTAAAAGTAAACGACAAGAGACAAGTGCCATACGTGACAAACCTTTATAGTGATCTTGAACCTAATGAACCAAGTGAGTGACTAATTGAAGATTGTCATTATTATCATATAAAAAAAAGGAGAGAAAGGTCGATCAATTGTATTAATTTTATCCAAATTTATTAATATGAATATTATAGTGCCTAAGGTTATCTCCCCAAGAAAGAGTCAAAGTCCATTTAAGACTCGTGATTCAATACAGATAAGCTCAGAGAAGCTTAAGGAACCACTTAAACCGATCGATAGAAACACCATGAGATATAGTAGTTCACTTAGAAATAATCTTACTTTCGGTGAAGAAAGTGATTATTATAATGAATTAGACACTCCGATAAAAAGGAATACATATTCCGAGTTTAATCTTCCTATAAATGAAGATAATAATGATCTTTCTCCAAGAAATAAACCACCAATTTCGGAAATTAGAGAAATGAGATTACGTTATTTTGAAAAAGAAAACGATATTACAGAGAATGTAGAGAATGTGTATTCGGATAACACTTCAGAATCCGAAGATGATGAAAATTATCAGGCAGAAGATAGATCCAATTTGTATTTAAGTGATTTAGATTCCGAAAATTCGTATTCTCCAACACATACATCTTTAAGAGAAACAAGAGTGAGGTTTCAAGAGCCTTATGAAACAAGGATCTATGATGTCGCTGATGAAAACACTGAAGATTCCATACAGAAAAGGTTTGAAAACATTGTCGGTTCCGACGTTTCAAGATTATCTAAAATCTCCAATAGTCCAACTTATATATCATCACCGGAGACAGATGAACCAAAAGACATAACATCAAGTAATAAGGATGGTTTAGAAGATCTTGAATCTAAATTTGACGCTTTAACAAAATCATCTGAACTTCTTCAATATTATGATGGCGAGGAATCAAATTTCGATGAAGCAATTGAAAAACTAGCTGAACTTGAAAAGAAGGAAGAGTTCATAGAACCATTCAAAGTTGATAGTACATCATTGGAAGAGATATCTCAGGTAGCTCCTGAGCCTGGTGTTGAATCCAAGCCCGAAGAGGTCTTGCAGCAGAAACCTACTAGCAGAGAAAATGATGTTATAAATGAAAGTAACAATTTAACAAATATGGCTACAGGTTTCGGATCAATTGGTTTGGGAGAGCCTTTAAGCTTACCTAGTCCAACTAGTTCACTAACGTTTGGGTTAAGTACATCTAATGCACAGCAAAAGGACCTTGGCTCAACACCTTTTGGCTCAACAATATCTTCCTCTTTAAACTTTGGAACAGCAGCACCTGTTCCTTCGGTATATAGGGGAGAAATACCAAATGCATTTAATATCGGTAGCATTCCACCAGCACTTTCTGCAACACCTTCAAATGTTGTTAATGCATTTAGTCAACCACAACCACCTTTATCGTTTGGTCAATCGCCTCAATTACCTAATGCTTTTGCACAACCTGCATTTGGACAATCAGGATTTCAATCGCCTGCTTTCGGACAACCATCATTTGGTGTACCGGGGTTTGGAACACCATCTCATTTTCCGAAACCGGCTGCACTTAATGCTCCAAGTGGTGGTGGTTTCGCTCGTTACTCAAGGTATTTTGAAAAAATATATATTTCTTTTACCTTTAATTCGCATAGTTGCTTGAATTAATGTATCTATTTTAGTAATAATAATAATACTCCTGGTTTCGGAGGGAGTGTTGGCGGCTTTGGAAGTACACCGGTTACTCCAGCACCTACTACGTATGATATACATACTGTTTTTCTCTGTTTTTTTTTTTTTTATTTTTGATTTTTTGATTTTTTTTTTTTTATTAAGCATTTTTTTTTTTTTATAATATAAGTAAACCGCCTAGCACCACATCAAGTCCACTATGGAGTTCATTTCGTGGTTAAACTATGGTATTAGTCCAGGAAATCAACGCATCACAAAGAATATATATCTTGAAGTTTATTAATATAGATTTAATATATATACATATTACACGAATAAATATCATAAAATTATATAATATTGTTTCCTAATTTTCCTAATTATGTGAAGGTTGGTGAGTTAGTATTAGGATGTGAACGAGGAATTTTTTTTTAAATTTTTTTTTTTTTTTTTATTTAAATATCAAAAATAAATATTTGCTCCAATAATCAACTTGACTCTTAAACTCTCAGAAACTATGTATATAACGTTATTCGTTTAAAATGTACATGAATAAACGTGATTTTTTTTTTCATTTTAGATTAAAAATATATTTATTTCAACTTTTCATAACAGTTTCTTTTAGGCGGTTTTATTAACTCGCATCAAAAATCTAAAATTCTAATGATTCAATAAGTAGCTCTGTATTAGCCAACATATGGCCAATAAGATTGTTGAAGACCAGAAATTTTAATGTAATGAATGGTTCAGATTCTTTTGAAAGTAGAGCTTGCAATTTGTTTTGTTTTCAACGAATTCTGTAAATTCATCAAATGTTTTAAAAGGCACAATAATCTCAATTTTTTAATTCTTGAATTATTAATTTCAAAAATTCATACACATACTTTGAACAATTTCCATGTTACAGTATATGGGAAATTTTCTAAACATATTGATCGCGTTTCAGTACAAACCTTGTCAAAAAAACCCCCCGAATTAATTCCGTTTATATGTATTTTTAAATCATCAACAATTTATATCCTTTGCTAACTTCAAAAATTTCTTTTGAATATAAGAAATGGATTTCGTTCCCGATAAAAATTTTTAATATATTTTCGGACTTTAACATGTCAAATTGAAGGTAATATTCGTTAGAATCTATTGATTAAGTTAAATTCTACTTTGAAAATGATGTCGATTCATCTAAAAACTTACAAGTTCCAGGTGGAATTTTTGAAGAAAACTATTTCTTTATAAAGTAACGCCATAAAAATTATTTGTTCAATAATTTCAAAGCATAATGTAGCCATGTTCTGTATCAAAAGGTCTTCGACGCTTTGTCTAAAGTTAATTCTGGAACATGCGTATACATTGAATTATGAATTCCAAAAACACCTAACAAATACATTTTATCAATTGGAATTGGTTCTTTGGTACTAAATCATTAATATTACTGAGGATTCTCATACATCCTTGGAACAATTCCATCTGGTATTGGAAAGTTTCGAAATACAATTGAGATTCTGGTTGCGTTTCTATATAAACTTTGTCAATGACTAAAATATTTGCTAATTCCGCTTCAATTTTTGCAAAATCATAATCAATACATTGCCCTTTGGCAACTTCGAAATTTCTTTGAATATATGCAAGAATTTCATCATCCCAAATAAAATTTATTCTATTTTCGGGCCGTGCGCATAGATCGAATGTAATATCTATTAGGCGTATCTGGTATCTTCAATTCTTTTGTTTGTTCGTCAAATATTGGTTCATTAAGAGATTGAACAAGTTCCAGGTGAATTGCAATGATTTCTCGAAGGAAATTATTTTGTAAAGCAATCAAATATTCTAAAATTGCACATGAGAAAATCCCTTCATCTTTCGGTTCCATTAAACCTAAAAATAACCGGAAGCTCGACATCCATGACTGGTATATTTGGAAGTACAATACATTTATATCGTTTTACAAAGGGAATAACTGCATCCCAACCAAGTTTAAAATCATTAAAGGAATTATGAAGGTTTTCAAAGTTATTTGACTCATTTTCTAAAAATTCCCTAAAGTCATTTATTTCTCTTGCATTTTTGTCTATTCAAGTAACATCCAAGTTTGGAATTCAAAGTTGAACAAATTTTGCTATGGGATAAAGATGTTTAAGCAATTCTAATGATTTAGCGTGTTTGAAAAATAATGAAAGGAATGGATAGTTATTCGTGTTTCTTTCACAAATATAATAAGCATGGAAATTTTCAAAATTCATTACTCCAATCGTCCTCCATAAATTTGATAAATATTCACTTCGGTATTGTTGATCCATCACTAAAGTTTCCTTTTGATTTTTAGTCGATGCTTAGCCGTTATTTCAGTTATATTTCTAATATGTAACGCAATATAACTATGAAATTCTAGTTCCCAAATCTCACGTTCGGCGGATGTTCTTATTTGCCCGAGAAGTTCATGTTACCTATCGAGATGTAAGGATTATTGCTCAAGGAAAATCTCCAAGGAATAAAGAACTTGATGGATTGGTTTAAGCCCAAGGTCTCAGGTCCCTAAAATATCCCAACGATTGAAAAAAAAAATGATAATTTTGATGACTTTGATATCACACGTGATCTCAAGGTGCAATCTTTGCGAATTCGTTGTAACTGAAATTGATAACAAAAAGTCTTCGTTGGATTTAAGCTAGCTCATGTTTTGGTTTTTCCATCATTAGCTCTATTGAAAAAGGATAAATAATTAAACAATTGTGGGTAACAGAAACAAAAAGTAATCATGTGCAACCCCAACTAGGAACGCTGAGGCGTCGATACACACTCAGTAGTAGTTTATAGATAGAGCATTAGCGTCCTTCCTATTAGAGAACACATTTTCCTCTATCGTATTGACTATTCAGCGTTTCCAATCACCAACTTTTAGTCTGTGACCGGTATATGGCGTAATGGGCATTCTTCTACTATCAAGCACATAATGACAAGCATAAAACTAGTTTTTACTTCGACTGCAAGAAAGAACATAACTGTTCCCCATACAGAAACAGTAGACTCAACAGTCACAATCTACTTAGTATTACCTGGTATTAGATAGAGTAAGTCGTCGAAAAGATAAAATAAATAAAAAAGTAAAGTTCAATTTTTTTTTATAGAAAAAAAACCGAGAAAAATCTAGAGTATAAGGCTTGACTTGAAAAAATAGTAGAATTAAAAACGGCTCTCAGAACCT